TTTTTTTTTTTTTTTTTTTTAACTGTGTAATCAGCAACTAGTTGAAAAACTTATCAGCGCTACATATACATACAGTGAAGAGGCAATAGAATTATATTTCCTCCGAAAAAGTGCTTCAGTTTTTCTCATTTGAACTGTGATACAGGCTGCCTTTCATTTTTGCTTATTGTACCTTTTGAATCAAACTTCGCCATGTTAACTTATCATATACAAAAATAAACTTAAGACTTTTATGTTTTGACTATTAATAGAAACAGAGTACCTGCATGCACACACTTCTGTTGTGTGTGTGTTTTGTTTTTAAAGGGTAGGTTTCCGAAAAAACTATGGTGTTGTGTTGGGGGGGGGGGGAGTATAACAAAGTAATTTAGGTTTTATCGACTGAGTTGGTGATGTTTCAAAGCTGATATTGTGATTGTTACTCCTTTGTCAGAGCGAATGACAAAGGGTTAATGCTTGAAAGATCACCTTTGAAACTCTTTGCAGTGGCCAATTAACATTATCAACTGAATTGATTAAACCAAAATTACCCTGTGAATTTTTTTTTTATTTCTTTTCTTTTTTGAAGTTTGTTTATCTGTGTTTGTTTCATTTTGTTTAATGCCATGATTTTACTCTTCCAAATCTTAACCATTTTTCCCTATATCTTATTAGTAATTCTCCGTACTGTCTGTAATAAGATACTCATGATTTTAGTGTATAGAATTTAGTATCAGATCAAGTAATAATCCCATTATTGATACTTTTCTTTATTCTCATCACTTGCCTTCTTGTCATTGTATTGATATTGTAAGGAGAAAGTATGTTTTAGTCAATGCTGAAAGGGTTAGGTCTACCTGTAAACTAAGTGAGTTTTCTTTTCTTTGTAAAGAACTTACCACAATTGAGGGACTTCTCTCACGTGCCATCACTGCCTTGGAACAGGATCAGCCTGTTAGAAGGGTAATGTTTTAAAATAGATTGTTACCAAATTGATTAATTCCTTTTATAGTCATGATCTTCACATGGTTAGTTTAATGCAATTTAAACTGAGCTGAATTTGATCCAGAATATGTGACTCTGAATGTGGCCTAGTGGTTAGGGGATTGGTCACGTAATTTGGTGTCCTAGGTTTAAACTTTCCATTCTGCTAGTTACTGGATTTGGTTTTAATTCCCTTGAGATGGACTATGTGGCTTTGCTTTCTATATAACCCAGGGTTTGTGCTACTCCTTAAACTCCTTGAAAACCACGTACTACTTGAATATATTTTGCAAATTTAAGGGTGCTTGGAAATTCCTTATAAATAAGAAATTGAAAAAAAATCCTTAAAAGTTCCTTGAATTTTTTACCAAAATAAGCATTGAATGTGAAAAAATATGTTGGAAACAATAAAAGAGAAAAAAATAGAAAGTTATCTGGTTCAAGAGTGCCTTGGGAAAAAATGTGCCGCAATTATTGCAAACAAAAGCTTTTTTCGTAGCAAAAATCACTTCTTGAAAGTCAAATTTAAGTCCTTAAATACTCCTTTTAAAGTCCTTAAATTTAACTCTGAAATTTCTGTGCGAACCCTAATTACCAACTCATCTGTTTCGTGCCAGTTGGGATATTTAAACTTTATGTTAATTAACAGTGGGTATTTACAATTTGTTTATATCAGCCTCTAAAAGCCCCATTGACGGAGGGATTGATTAATGTTATTATCATATTAAAAGTAAATGAAGCCAGTATCCGCTAGTTTTTCTTAGTTTTTTCTTAGACATTTTAATGCATTTTTCAATTTTCAAGTATTTTATCATAACTGTTGTCAATAGTTCTAGTGATTATAGTGAATTCGGGGTTTGGGATTATGATTGTTATTATTGTCCATAATGTT